TGTATACCCATAGTCGATATACATGCGCAAGACATCAGATTAGCGTTTATCTCTTTAGTTTTATAAGAAAAATACGTTTTAAACTACCTCAACAGGCGTGGATCTCTTCTGTCATGTCCCAAATAAACACTTTAAGGTCAGATTGCCATACGCTTCAAAAAACACCAAAAAGTAAGTAATCAAATTGTTTTTTTTTTGTACACGACTAAAGGAATACATGCCTGTTGAGGTAGTTTAAAGTGAATTTTACGTACAAAGCTAAAGGGATAAACAGGTTTTGACTGTGACTATGCTGGTCTGACCAGGTATGCTCATCTGACAGAACACCGGCAGTCTATGGGCATAAGGCAGGGTCCTCTTGATGTCATCAGTTCATTTACAAAAAAAAGCATTTGTTTTCGTTTTTTTACTTTTATGAACTTGTGTAACAATTCTGCATTAGGAATCTATGGCTCATTTGCCTGTTGGGGTTTTTTACTTTCTTTGCAGGTGTCATAGTAAAAACACTTTATACATTTTATATTTATTTAATAAACTTATATTAGATTAAAAACAGATTTTCATATAATTCACACCATAAAAAAAATAGCCTGCAGGCTTAGATGGAAATCTTCGACCTGAAAGTGTGTGTAAAGCACAGAAGGGCAAGAGAGCTTGCAGAGGTTGATGTTTACACCTCAGAGCAAGGAATGTCAGGACCCTGTGTTTAAGTTTAAGACTGATAATGAGTGTGGTCAGTTTTTGTCAAGGTCTGTCATTAACCTGAACTAGGAGAAGAGAGAGCTGCAGGTTTGCTCCAAAGGCAGCAGCTGGAGGAGGAGAGAAGATGTGGAGGAAAGAGGGGAGGGTGGGAAAGGCGCTGCAGGAGGAGAGAAAAGAAAGGCAGACAGGAGAGGATGCAGATGTAACAGGAATGAGAAGGTAAAAGTAGAATAGATGTAGGTGGGTAGTTTTCTTTATTTATTTTAAAGCTGGCTGACCATTAAAACTGACATTTTATTGCAGTTTGGCATTCATTTTAGTCTGAATTTTCCATTTTTACTATTTGACTTTAAGTTGTTTTGCACAGATTGGGTCAAAAGGTTAGGAAACAATGACGTGGCAATGGAAGTATTTTTGCAATGCACAGCTACAGCTTCAAATACCACATGTTTTAACAAAAAAACAAGAGACCAGCTTAGCATGACTGATAAAACAACCCATCAGAAAACATTGACATAGGAGGGAACTCATAAAGCGCTGATATTCAGATCCTCTCAGATCATTTGTCTGTGTCGCCTCACGTACGCACACAGAACTGCCACGCTGACACAAACCTGCAGTGATTGAGCCAGATCCTGACAGGAGTTGCTCTCATTTTCCAAAACGTAGGAGGGCCAAGTCGGACCTCAGCAGAAGAGACGGCAGCGGTGGAGATTGAAAAATCTGCTGGGAATGATATCACTGAACCACCTAATCACTTACATCACCACAGCTGCATGCTCAGCAGTGTATGCCTCTGTGTGTGTGAGTGCCCATGCACACATGTCTGGTTTTAATCTGTTCTGTTTGTCTCCTCGTGTGTCTCTGTTCCCTAGTGAGAAATTAAGACTGACTTTGGAGGATGTGTTTGAAAATCAGGGAAGATATTGCTTGATACTTGTACATATCAATATAAAACAGCGAATCTCTTAAAGTCATCAAGTTATTGAACTGAGAGATGAACTTGAAGGCATTGTTCTCTTATGCTCTGGGTGTTTCAACCGTAACCAAAGATGGATTTACCTCTAAGGTATGTTAAAGTAAAAAAATCCTTCTTGTATTTGAATGTTTAAAGCACAGGCAAATAACAAATATCTTGGGGTAGTACTGCCACACATATCTTAGACAACACAATCCACCTTTGCCTCGATAAATATTTGTATGAATGCAGCTGTTCTTTGGGGGGCTCAGATGCTTAATCAGGCACTTTAGAAAGCAAATAGAATAATGCAAAGCAAATCGAAACAGAAGACAGATTTAAGGTGTAAAGCAGGATTTAAATATCTTTAGATACCTCTACTCGGATATAAATGCAGACCACATGTTCCAGATATTTAAATACTCTGTTATCTAGCAGTTTAAGTTGGTCTAGCACCGAAATCCAAAGGCGTTTTTATCCGTAGCGTTAAAACATTAGGAATATTTCAGTGGAGATGTTTTTTTTTTGTTTTTTTTTAAAGGGCACTGGTGAAATCTTCTGCTACTTCACCGATCTTGGGCTTTACAACTTTAAACTTTGTTTAAAGGGGGAAAAACATGTGCTTCAGAAGGATTAGCATGGCAGTGAAAAGAGCTTGTTTACATTTGTTTCCGCTCTGACCCCGCTCTTCGCTTAGTCTGACCAAAAAGGGCTGCAGGCTGGCTTTTTCCCACCTCTTCCACTCGACTGTACTCAGGGGTGCAGACCTCGAAGTTTGACCCTCAGAGAGAAGCAGAGATGTCGGTAGTGGACCTTGACTCGCCAGCCTGGGCACGGCGGTTGCCTGGTGAAACCTCTGCAGGCATGACTTCTATAATTTGTCTTTTGGGTCTGTATTTATGAGCACGCTAATTGCAGGGAGCAACATGGTGCAGTTATAGCTGCTGGACTTTGAACGTCTGCTCGCTAACTGGTGCTGTCTGGCCGGGCTTTGACTCCCTGTAAAGCTAAGCCTTCCTCACTTCTTTCTTTACTTTATGTCCTTTTGACAGCTCACAGTGCAGGGCTTTCATAATTTTGTGAATGAGCATGCAAGCTGGTCAACAGCCAGTCGGGCTTTGGTAGAAATAACTTGAATGCACCAGTTTCCCCCTTTTGGCTCTTTGCCTATTCATTGTCGCACATTCTTCCCTCTTTTCTCTGCTGAGGCAAGCTGACGGCTCCAACCTCTAGCTGCGATGGGACTGTCATGCAGAAAGGCACTATTGTGCAGCACAGGATCCTATTTCGCTCCTTCCTTGTAATTAAGAAGGGATTGCATGGCCTGGGAGTTGTGGCTGAGGAGGGGGCAGGGTACTGGGTTAGTAGGTAATTGGGCTAAAAAGAAAAGCTTTGACCTGCTTGGTGGTGGGCAGGCAGGCCTGGGAACTCCAGCCTCCCCCACTCACAGAGCCTCCCTCTTGAGTTTTTGTTCAGTGTGTGTGGGCATGTGGTGAGAGGTTGGAAGAGGAGAGGGGGATGCAAACTGTGGTAATCTGTTTCTTTGTGACCAACATGTATGTGTATGCTAGTTTTATTCCGGCAACACGTGTCTCTAACACAGAAAGTTCGAGGAAGCTTTCGTTAATGTTAATTAACTTCTGACTCATCACTGGGGGTTGCTTTGCTCACGCTTCCTCTGTGAATCATGGGAAACGCGGTTAGCAAAAGGTACTTTAGATGTTTAGTCACTTTATTTTCTCCATGTGATGTAAATGAAAACAGGATCTGGACTGAACACAGAAATACCATCACAGGACTGGCTGTGCCTCATTTTCTGAGCTATACAAGGGATTTGTAGCTTCTTTTCGTGAGCTGCTCTAATAAAAACTTCCCTTTTCTTTCCAGCCTAAGTCCAGAGGCGGAGGCCTAAATCCCTGCCATGGCTGACGTTTTGGATAGCAGCGGAGCCGGTGCTGTAGGAGCGGCCGGCGTGGACTGGCAGAAACGCTGCGTCGCTCTGGAGATGCAGCTCCTGAGGTTCCGCCTGCAGGCTGGGAAAATCCGAGAGCTGCTGGCAGAAAAGGTGAGATGTTGAGAAAAGGCTGCATGGAGAGCTGGATCAGTTACTCCCTAAACATAACATGGTAGGAGTCGGAGTTTAAGAGTAATTTCTGAAGATTCACAAATTAGATTTTTTATGGTCATTTTCTGATCTTTGATTTTGTCTTTTAGTTGCAGACAAACTATAGGCCAAAAAGACTGCTTCTTATTGCAAATAGCACATTTATAGTGTATTTTATTTGGTCTTTTTGTCTTTTTTACTTTTATGTTACAAGGTTATTTTTGATTTGTTTAAAATCGCAAAGTCAAGAAAGTACATATACATATTTATTGCTGGTTTGTGAAGATTTTTCTTTTGTCATTAGTTATTTCTGCTTGTACCATTGTATTGTTTGTGCAAATGGCAACTTTCAAAATCATTCCATGTGCTTGTGATATATTAAGGACTGAATAGCATTTTCAATGTGCGCCAGCATTCTTCAACATCAAATATGTCCCCAGTTGAAAGTTGTTCCCCAGTGATGGAGATTTTCTGGAGAATGTGTGAATAGTTTCAACTGCATTTGAGTGCCGCATCTGCTTCTCATTGGCAGATTTTCTTTGTGGAAAGGCTCTTAGCTCTGTTTACAGTTATTGGGGAAAGGAGGGCGATATGATGATATATTTACATATTTAGCATCATGTGTCGGAGGAAACAAACAGAGCACGCAGATCAGCTTGAACTCCAGGTGCTGATGACTGTTTATTTGTGTGAGTAAATACGTGAGATTACCGTCTGCTTTTGGTAAACACTTAGTCCAGTCATTGTGTGTCATCAGGTGCAGTTAAAACTTTAAGCTAAATAGAACGTTTCTGCTCATTTGTTCTGGTAAGGTCTCCTATAGATTGAGGAAGCAGCAGCCAACCAAACGCTTGTAAAAGTTTCGCTGACCATTTGGAAAGAAGTCATCAGGATATACATTTGTACTCATTGAAATATTTTGAAGGTAGAAACAGTTATGTCTTGATTTTTCCACTGTTTTACTTTTAAAGAGTGTTTTGATCGTGCATCTAAACAGCTTCAGGTTGCATTTGTCGCTGTTGTTGGCCCTCTGTGTCATCTCTTAATTCCAGATCAGAGCAAAGTGGTTCATTCAGCCAGTCCACAGGATGTTTACAGTCTAAACATAACCCTGTGGCCGTTTAGAGGAAGACGACTCCATGCTGTGGCCTCTGTCAAGTCCTGTAAGACTTCAGCTCCCCTGTGAGATCTTAAGTTGTACAGAAACCCATTTGGAAAGCATAAAAATCAAAATCATGAATTCTCTCATCACTAGAATATTTATAGAGGAGTATGCTTGTGGTTTAAAATATATATATTTTTTGTAACCTTGAAATCTTTATCAGCTTCTAACTGATTAATGTTGCGACATGTTTCCCTTAGTAGGAGCTGTGGATGAGTGTCTAGTTTGAGGACCTGAAAGTCTCTTCTTTACTTTCTGCAGATAATGGTGTTTTTGTTTGCATCCTCAAACAAAGGTCTTTAAGTACAAGATTAGTTTGCAGTCACGTGTGCAGCAGTCTGGAAAGGGGCCTCATCCTAGAATGGATATTAAGATAAGATAATGTTATTAAAAGACTAGAGGAAAGCTCTCTGGGGTCAGAAGTTACAGGTAAGTTATCTGATTGATGACATATTTTAAGTGTAAGTTACTCATAGGTCGTGGTGTCTAGCTTATCCAAAACCTATGAGTAACTTCTCCAGACTGCATACCCACCATAGGGTGGGAGTAAAGGTGAGTGTAATGGATAATTCCTGCATTCACTGCCAGGGCCGTGACCAAAAAAACTTCCTAGCAGACATGACGCTGAATCTGTTGCGACTGCAAACCTTGTGCATCATTTCATAGGCATTCCACTGCTGTGCGTTATGCATAAGTTAGGATGTTGTTCTACATAAGACTCGCTATGAATACATTATGTGTATGCCCAAAATTAAATATACATAGTTCAGCGTATGACAGCGTTTTAGGAGATTCTGGGATGTCGGGCATACGCTGGCAAGGTGTCACAGGGCCCTTAGACATGTCATGACATCACTAACCATCAATAAAGAAAATAATTCTGAGAGTAAAACTTTAACTTTTTTCTNGTCGTGGTGTCTAGCTTATCCAAAACCTATGAGTAACTTCTCCAGACTGCATACCCACCATAGGGTGGGAGTAAAGGTGAGTGTAATGGATAATTCCTGCATTCACTGCCAGGGCCGTGACCAAAAAAACTTCCTAGCAGACATGACGCTGAATCTGTTGCGACTGCAAACCTTGTGCATCATTTCATAGGCATTCCACTGCTGTGCGTTATGCATAAGTTAGGATGTTGTTCTACATAAGACTCGCTATGAATACATTATGTGTATGCCCAAAATTAAATATACATAGTTCAGCGTATGACAGCGTTTTAGGAGATTCTGGGATGTCGGGCATACGCTGGCAAGGTGTCACAGGGCCCTTAGACATGTCATGACATCACTAACCATCAATAAAGAAAATAATTCTGAGAGCAAAACTTTAACTTTTTCTCCAAAGGAAAGTTTTTATCTGATTGGGATTGTTTCATCAGCCTGGACAACTTGTTCCTTCACTAAATTACACTTAGGATCAAACTGAACGAACTTACAAAAATAAACAAACTGGTTACTCATAAAACAGCAACTAGAAATGTGTTATTTTCTATTTTTGCTTTTTTTTTTTAGCTTCCTCAGTTACATGCTTTTGAATGGAAATAGGCTGCAAATTGGGTGATGGGTTATTTGAAACTGTTAAAGGTGATCTATTTAGACATGTGAACAGAAATCATTTTGTTTCTTCTTTTTTTTATGAATGCTCACTATTTATTTAGTTATTTTTATGTAATTAAAGCACAATCATAGAAGTTTTACAGCCAAGGCAGTGTGAAGTAGGAATGGGATGGGGAACTACCATGCTGTCATCCTACTGCTGTTTGGAAAGACTGTTTCATGCTCTTCATCTCCTCTCTCGCCAAGTTAGGAGTGTTTTATGCATTGACCCACTTAGGGATGGAAAAACATGAGTGAAAAAATGAAAGTTGACTCGTTGTCTTTGACATAGCATTTATATTCAGCAGCTGACTGAATCAGAGAAATAAGGAGCAAAGGAATAAAGATTTGCATCGGAAAGGAAAATCAAACAGTTAAAAATCTGAGAAATCAGTGCAAAAACCTAAAGTTCTGTCTAAACACAAGGGGTACACAGAAAAAGTAGGGGAAAAACCAAAGCTTGACAGTAAGAGCCGACAAAGAGATGAACAGCTGTTTTATTTGGGATGGTAATTGCTGAGAGGACATTTACACCTAGGAAATGGATTAAAAAAAGAAATATGAGGAAACAAAGCTCATTATTGTCATGATTTTCTTAAGAGATCTGACCCACATGCAGTAAACCACTCAGAGAAGCAGGGTAAAAGTTTTAACAGGTTTATTGATGAGGTCAGCGGGGGTTGGATTCAGGAAACTCAGTGTGCTGGTGAACTGGAGGAGGGAAGGGAAGTATCAGCGGTTAGTTCAGGATCTGTGGGAACTTTGAGCGATGGCTGGAGAGACTGAGAAAACTGGACTCGCGTTACTGGAGAAGACTTTCTTCCCAGAATCCAGTAAGTGTGGGTTTATCCAGAGGTAGAGACTCGTTGGAGGGCGGACAGGTTAAGACTTGGTTGGATCCTGAGGAGCTATTGAGCGGACTGTCACTTGGAAATCCAGGAAGAATTGAACAGAACTTGTGGAGGTTAATCCCCTGCTCAGTGTGAGACTCAAACAATCCTTCCAGGGGAAGAAGGCCAAACATCCAGCTTGCAGGAAGGCTTGCTGCCGAAAGGCAAAGACAAAAAACAAGGTTAGGCTCAGTGAAAACAAAGACTCAGACTCAGCTAAACTCAGCTTGGCTATAGTACCCAAAACTGACAAACACTCTGGCTTCGAGGTAGTGACAGTCCACCGCTCAAATAGTCCTCAGTAATGAGCCAACCAGCCGCAGGTGTGTGGGAGGACCAACAAGAACAGGGCGCCACCTGGTGGTGGAGGGAGAGAACAACACAAAAAATACAACCCACACAAACTGGATTCCTAACAATTATGAAAAATACACAACTGAATAAATAACACATCACAAAATGGAAAAAAGGAATGTTAAAGTTAAGGTTTAGCTAGTTATGGTGATAAACCAAACCCAGTCCACAAATGAGCATGGGAGGATGAGATTGGCTGTTACGGGTGTTAACTAGGGGTGGGTATTGGCAAAGAAGTCATGATTCGATTCGAATCACGATTCACATGCCACGATGCGATTCTATCACGATGCATCACGATACTTGAAATATTGCGATGCATCGCGATTCATTGCGATATTTTCACTGAACACTGTAAGAAAAAGATACAGCCCTTACCAGTGGCTGACTGGCTGGGTGTGATCTGGATCGTGTCTTCAACTGATACATAACTGAAAGCAACTGGATTCATACATTGCTGTATTTATTGAAACGACTTTTGGAGGTGTTGCCATGAAAACAAATACTGGGCAGAAATATTACTATTACTGGCATGGACACACTGACAAAACGATCTTAGGATTCATAAAAATTTAAATAACAAAATAAGGATAATCAGTGCCGTTTACATGGCCTCAGTGGTCCTTTAAACCAACGAAAC